CCCCTATCTCTGCAAAAAAAAAAAAATTAAAAATTAGCCAGATGTGGTGGTGTGTACCTGTGGTCTCAGCTATTTGGAAGGCTGAGGTAAGAGGATTGCTTGAGCCAGGAGGTCAAGTAAGCAGTGGTCTGGGATTGCACCACCACACTCCAGTCTAGGCAACAGAGCAAGATCCTGTTAAAAAAAAAAAAAAAAAAAAGAAAAAAGAAAAAAAAAGAAAAGAAAAAAAGGAAGGAAGAAGAAAAGAAAAAGAAAGAAGAAGAAAAAGAGAAGAAATGCCAGTACCTGATGATTTCACTGCTAAATTATACCAGATATTTTTAAAGAGGAATGAATACCAAGTCTACTCAAATTATTTCAATTAACTACAGAGGAGGGAATACTTCCAAACTCATTCTATGAGGTTAGTATTACCCTGATATCAAAATCAGACTATGAAACAACCAAAAAAGAAAACTACATGCCAATATTCCTACTAAACATAAATGAAGAGCTCGACAAAATACTAGCAAATCAAATACAACAACATATTGAAAAGATCATTCACCATGATTACATGGAATTCATCCCAGGGATGCCAGAATGATATGACATATGCAAATCAATAAATATGATATGTCATATTAACAGAATCAAGGACAAAAACCATATGATCAATTCAATAGATGCTGAAAAAGCATTTGACAAAATTCAACATTCCTTTATGACAAAAACTCTCAACAAACTGGGTGTAGAAGGAACACACCTCAAAATAATAAGGGACATACATTACAAACCCACAACAAAATCATACTATGGGAGTAAAAATTGAAAGTCTTTCCTCTAACTTCTGAAACAAAACAAGGACACCCACTTTCACCACTTTTATTCAACATAGTACTGGATGTCCTAGCGAGAGCAATTAAGCAAGAAAAAGAAACAAAGGGCATCCAAACTGGAAAGGAAGAAGTCAAAATATCCTTTCTGCAGATGACATATTATACTTAGAAAACTCTAAAGACTCCACCAAAAACATAAAAATCAGTGACATTTGTATATGTCAATAATGAACAAACTGAAAAAATACAAAAAGAAATTCCATTTATGGATTGGAAGAATAAATATTGCTAAAATGTGTTCACAGATTGGAAGAATAAATACTGCTAAAATGCCAACACTATTCAAAGTAATCTATAGATTCAATACAATCCCTATCAAAGTAACACAGACATTCTTCACAGAAGTGGAAAAAAATCCTAAAATTTATATGGAACCACAAAATACTTCAAATAGTCAAAGCAACCCTGAACCAAAAGAAAGACCTGGAAACATCATACTATCTGACTTCAAAATATACTATAAAGCCATAGTAACCAAAACAGCAGAGTCCTGGCATAAAAACAGACACATTGAAAAATGGAACATAACAGAGAACCCAGAATAAGTCCAAGCATTTACAGTCAACTCATTTTCAACAAGACACCAAGAAGACAGTCTCTTCAATAAATAGTGCTGGGAAAAATAGATAACTATATACAGAAGAATGAAGGCAGACTCATATTTCTTACCAAATATAAAAATCTAATCTAAAAGAATTAAAGACTTAAATGTAAGACCTGAAACTATGAAACTACTTGAAGAAAACATTGGGAAATGCTTTAGGATATTAATGTGGGCAAAGACATTTTGGGTAAAACCTCAAAAGTGCAGGCAACAAAAGCAAAAATAGACATAAAATTACATTATGTTAAAAAGCTTCTGCATAGCAAAAAAACTTAACAAAGTGAAGAGACAGACTACAGAAGGGGAGGAAATATTTTCAAGCTCTCCTTCCAACAACCAAATAAGCAAAATAATAACAAACAAATAATAACCAAAACATCTAAGGAACTCAACTCAATAGCAAAAAATCCCACCAAATAAACCCAATTAAAAAATTGGCAAAACATCTGAATAGACATTTCTCAAAAGAAGACATACAAATAACCAACAGGTGGTGGGAATGTAAATTAGTTCAACCTTATGGAGATTTCTCAAAGAACTAAAAGAACTGTATAAATATACACATATATAACACCTGTACCTAGTTCATCACAGCACTATTCAGAATAGCAAAGTTATGAAACCAACTTAAACACCCATCAATAGTTGACTGCATAAAGAAAACCACGGAACACTATATAGCCATAAACAAGAATGAAATCGTGTCCTTCACAGCAACATAGATGGAGTTGGAGGCCATTATCCTAAATGAACTAACTCAGAAACAGAAAACCAAATACTGCATGTTCTCACTTGTAAGTGAGAGCTAAACAGTGGGTACACAGATGGAAATAACTGTCACTGGGGACAAAAAGGGGAAAGGCGGGAGGTGGCAAGGGTTAAAAACTACCTATTGGGTACAATGCTAACTATTTGGCTATTGGGTACACTAGGAGCCCAACTCCCATCAGTATGCAATATACCTATGTAACAAACAAGTACATGTACCCCCTCAATCTAAAATAAAGTAAAATAAAAATAAACAAAAAATAGGCAATGTGGGTATATTATTGCAACTACATCATAGTTATTGTGAAAAGGGGCCCTTAAGAAGAAGAAATGGGTTCATTGCTCCACTGGAAAAAAACCTAGGGAAGTTTCTTGGGGGAAGTTCACATCTGAGCTAGGTAAAAATGTTAAATAAAAATTATATGGATGAGGTAGATGGAGGAAGAGGAATGAAATTCTTAGCAGAGGGAACAACATAAGTGAAATAGAGGTTAAAAAACAAAACAAACATATAGCCAACAGGTATATGAAAAAATGTTCAACATCATCAGTCATTAAAGAAATACATATTAAAACCACAATGAGATATCATCTCACCTAGTTAAAATGGCTTTTATCCAAAAGGCAGACAATTAACAAATGCTGGTGAGGATAGAGAAAGGGGAATGTGCATACACTGTTGATGGGAATGTAAATTAGTATTGCCACTATGAAAAATAGTATAGAGGGTCCTCAAAAAACTAAAAATAGCACTATCATATGATCCAGCAGATCCAGCAGTCCTATTGCTGGGCATCTATCCAAAAGAAAGAAAATAAGTATATCAAAGAGATGTTTATATTCCCACATTTGCTGCAGCACTATTCACAATAGCCAAGATATGGATCAAGCTAAGTGTCCATCAACAGATGAATGGATAAAGAAAATGTGGTACATATACACAATGGAATATTATTCAGCCAAAAAAGAAATGAAATCCTTGCAACTGTAGCAACATGGATAAAGAATCACTATGCTAAATGAAATAAACCAGGCACAGAAAGACAAATACCACATGTTCTCACTTATATGCCTGAGCTAAAAGAGTTGATCTCATGGAGGTGAAGAGCTCGTTGATGGTTACTAGAGGTTAGGAAAGGTTTGGAGGAGGAAAGAGATGAATAGAGGTCAGTTAATGAGTACAAAAATACAGTTAGATTGAAGAAATAAAGTCTACTGTACGATAGTTCAGTAGGGTGACTATAGTTAATATTTGTTGTATAGTTCAAAATAGCTAGAAGGTAAGAATTGGGATGTTTCCAACACAAACTAAGATAAATGTTTGGGGTGATGGCTATCCCAACTACCCTGATTTGATCATTACACATTGCATGCAAGTATCAAAATATCACATGTACCCACAAAATATGTACAACTATTAAGTATCAATTAAAAAAAGAAAAAAAATCAAAATTAGCCTGTAAAATATTCACCTAAAATCAGAATATATTAATTTGCAGTGGATAAAATTAGCTTGTTTTGAATACTTTTCAAACTTCATTAGAAGAACCAAAGCCTACTAGAAGGCTAGTGGAGAGGTGGCCCATAAATGAAATGTGGTAAGAAGAACTCTAAAGAGTTAGGTAATAAGAGCTTCTTCAGAGTACAGCACAGTTAAAATTTCTGACGAAGAGATTCAAATAGATAATTAGGCAAGTGAGGTCATAGACAGTAGAGGAACTTAAAGGAGAGAGGAATTAAAAATGGAAGACAGGTTAAGAAAGAGTGATGGACATAGAAAATTGTTATTAAGGAAATATCACACTGCACCTAGGTCAGTTTACTGAACACACTGCATTTTCAAAACACTGTAAAGTAGCTGGGTGTGGTTGCTCACACCTGTAATCCCAGCACTTTGGGAGGCCGAGGTTGGTGGATCACCTGAGGTTAGGAGTTTGAGACCAACCTGGCCAACATGGCGAAATTCCCCATCTCTATGAAAACTACAAAAAAAAATTAGCCGGATGTGATGGTGGGCACTTGTAATCCCAGCTACTCAGGAGACTGAGACAGGAGAATCGCTTAAACCCAGGAGGCGGAGGTTGCAGTGAGCCGAGATCGTGCCATTGCACTCCAGCCTGGGTGACAAGAGCAAAACTCCATCTCAAACAAACAAACAAAACCCAAAAACCAAAAAACACTTATATAAAGCAACCAACTACAATTTTCCAAATTTCAAGTCAACAGATGTGAGTTTAGTGTTGAACCTACTGCTTCCTAACAAATCACTTAACCTCTGTGAACCTGTAAAATTAAGAGTAGAAGTAATCCATTTTTAATCTTTTACTATAAAGACCTGACTACTTCATGAAGAGTTATGAGGCTTACATATGAGTAGAAAAGCTTTGAAAACTATAAAAAATATATAATTATACAAATATTGTGCAGAGTGATTTTCGTTTTCAATGTCCACTTAAAATAGATTTATTTTCTCATCATAAAGTTAGTATAGCAACAATTATTTTAGAAACTGGACTGTTTAACTTTTATCTCCTAGCTTGTTAGCTGATTTGCTGTGAAGATTATAATAGACCAAACCAAAAGAGTTTTAAGAAGTAACAATAATTTTCTTTGTTTAGAAATTAGGTTTTAATTTTTAATATTTTAATTATTATATTAATTATTATATATTTAGATCAAAGGTCATAATAAAAATCTACACTAAAAGTATTTTTTTAATTTGAAGAACAAATAAGAACAAAGTTTCTTACCAAAATTTGCCTCGTAATTTGAGTTGTGATTTCCTTGGCATCCAAGACAATTGATGGTGGAAGTGATGACACCTCTGCAGCTTTTAATCCTAGAATTGTTTGTTTTAAATTGACTTCGATATTATTACTGCTGGCATTTTTATGCTTGTTTTAACTAGTATTAATCTTTTATTCACAGATTTAAACTTCCCTTCTAGAGGCATTTCCGAACTACTCAATAATTCTCAGAATTAAGCTTTCTAAAATTCTGGATGACAACTTACCAATTATTAGATTTAATTACTTATCCAAGACACATAAGGCAAATTAGAACATCAGTTACCTCTCAATATAGCTCAGATATCAGGAACAAAAGAAATAGTTAGAAAATAATAATATTGAAATTCCAATTGCAAATATAGTTGGTTAACAGAATTTCAAAAGGCATATGAGTTTTCCAGGGGAAGATAATAGCTAGTCACAGAGATAACACTACAGCTAAACATTCACCCACCTAAATCAATGAGACAGGAATTTCTCAGAAGATATAACAGTAGGTGAGTAATTTATATGCAAATTCAAAGCATTAATTATAATTCTCATGTTTTCAGAGCTTAATTTTATTGTATAAATGCCATACAGGCTTTCTACTGTATGCCAGTAGCTTACTGTATTTAATGCTTTAGAGATAGAAGCAACATCAAAATTTATTGAGACGTTAGTAATTGCTAAGCACTGTGCCACACAGCTCATATTTGGTAATTCATTGAATCTTTGCAACTCTACATATATTAAAAATTATTCCCATGTCATAGATTATGAAATTGAGACTTACAAATTTTAAACATCTGATACAAATAAGTTATCCAGTTGATTCCCCATTTCAAATAGCAAAACAAAGATGGTTTTTTTCCCTCAAAGGGTCACATCCATAGTTAAAATAATTTTTGAAACTTATATGTACAGACCAATTGAAAATTCTCTGAATCTGTGAGAGTTAATGATTCAAATAGAAAGTATCTAACCAGGTTTAAGAATATCTAGCTGGGCATGGTGGTGCATGCCTGTAGTCCCAGCTACTGAGGAGGCTGAGGCAGAAGAATCACTTGAGCCCAGTGGGTGGAGGTTGCAGTGAGCAGAGACAGCACCACTGCATTCCAGCCTGGGCAACAGAGCGAGACTCTGTCTCAAAAAACAAACAAACAAACAAAAAAACATATGGTTTAGTAATACATACCCTTTTAAGATTTTAGATTTAATTTTCAAGTACCCAGAACCTGAAGAAAACACAGGAAGGAGCCTGCTACTGAAAGATTGTGTAGAAAATATATAATTTTCAATTCATTATATAACTTGCAAATATAAGCTAAATTACATTTTCTAAGGAAACTAATACTTCTAGGGTTTTCAGTTGTCACTGTATTTTTACATAGTTACTGGCTCATAAAAATTTAAAAAGATTTATATATCTATATCTAGATGTAGATATAATGAATTTGACATAGAAAATACAATCTAAGAGAATATAAGCACTCAAAAGAATGAGAAAATTTGCTTAGATTGACAGCCAAGTAAAGAAGAGATGAAAGTTTGTCTTAGGAGAATATATAGTATTTGAATGTACAGGTATAATTTCTATATGCAGTACCATAATTTTTCTCTTCTGTGAGTCCCTTAGAAAGTTTGTAGGTATACAAAATTGCTTCTTTATTTCTTGAGGTATTCTTTACATGTTGAACTTCAAAATGCATGTTTTCTACATTAAGATAGAGGGCATCAAGATGGCACAGTTCCAGGAAATGTGTAGCAAACAATGTAAATGCCTGGAATATATAACAGATGGTGAATATTAGTACTTTAAAAATTAACTGGAAAATTCTATTTTAACTATGTGAACATAAAATTTCAGTTTAATTTTCTAAGTAGCTTGGCAGAGATGTAGGAATAAAACTAATAATTTGGAGGCTAATATCATCAATCTATTTTAAAATGTTTTGAGAGTTTATATTAAATGAAGAAGATATGTTTATTATGTTTGTACACAGACATGTGTGCCACATTATGGGAAAGAGAACAAAACTGAAAATAAAATCCTAAGAAATACATCTGAAGATATTGAAAAGATGAAGTTTACCAGAAACAAAGCTATGAATTGAGGTAATCATTTATTAGGAAGGTAACTCACATGCAAAATAATAATATTTTCCTCAATTTTTAAAAAACTTCACTATAAAAGTTGCCTCCCAAGTTGTAAGTAGGTTTTAGCAGTGGAATCAAGAGATTGTTTTAGGTATGTGAAATTCCAAAAGTTTCTTGTTTTTAGATTTCATTGTGTTTAGTACTGGTAGAGGAAAAAGAAAGACTGGGAGCACCGATTAAGATAACGGCTCTCAAACATTAGTAATCCCTTAGAGAGCCTGTTAAAGATGCAAATTCTTGGTACATATCCCCTGAAAAATTCTCAATCAATAGTTCTAATGTGGGACCCCAGGAAATGACATTTTCCATAAGAACTTTAGGTGATTTTGATGAAAGTGGTTCAAGTGATTTACAGCTAGCACAAGATTTCCAGCCCAGAATTTACTAAGGCAGACAGAGATCTGAATAACTGGTTATGTTTTACAACATTATCAGTGACCAATTAGGTAGGTAGTCAGTGGAAATTTAAATATTAAGACAGTAAAAATAATTGATTGGCAAAATGGCTATCAACTATGGAAGGTGAAAAGCAAGGGAAGGAAAAATTTTGTATATGACATAAAAATGAAAATTCTTAAATATCTACTCAACAAATCAAAAGGAGTATAAAACAATACCAAATTTATAAAGCTACAGGAAAACAGAACATAGTAAGCTATTTAAAAGGTAGAGACTATATTCAATAACAATAATGTCCTTAAAAGTTATGTGCCAAACCAATCTATTAGAGTAACTTTTTAAACTCTATTTCAGGGTAATTCAATTTAGCAAATAATTATTCAGACCCTATATATTGCAAGGATTGTGCTAGGCACTAAGGATACTGTGTTAGAAAATAATAATTAAATTTAAAAGTAAGTAGCAATATTATATTTTTATTAAATTATTTACATTAGAAAATAATATTGTAAAGTAATACTAAAAGCACTATTTTAAACTATTGTAGAATACTTTGAAAACAGATACTGCATGCTTGAACATGGGAGGCAGAAGCTGCAGTGAGCTGAGATCACGCCACTGCACTCCAGCCTGGGCAACAAGAGTAAAACTCCATCTCAAAAAAAAAAAAAAAAAAGAAAAGAGATACTGTATTAGATGGGGTTCTCCAGAGAAAGAGACCAATAGGATATGTGTGTGTGTGTGTGTGTGTGTGTGTGGTATGTGTGTAAAGAGATTTATTATAAGGAATTGGCTCATGCAATTATGGAGGCTGGCAAGATCAAAAATCTGCAGTCAGCAAGCTGGAGACCCAAGAGAGTTGATGGTATAACTCCAGTCCAAATGCCCGCAAGCTCTAGACTCAGAAAGAGCCAATGTTTCAGTCTGAGTCTGAAGGCAGGAAAGAACCAGTATTTCAGACTGAAGGCAGTCAGTTCTCTCTTATTCTTAGAAGGATCAGTCATTTTCTTCCATTCAGGCTTTCAATTTATTGGATGGGACCCATCCACCCTAGGGAAGGCAGTATGCTTAATTCAGTCTACCAATCTCATCCAGAAACACCCTTACAGATAAACCCAGAATGTTTGACCAAATGTCTGGGCACCCCATGACCTTGCCAAGTTGACACATAAAACTATCCATCACAAATCCACCCTTTGAAAACTTGGCATCCATAGGTATGTCCTTATACCACACTTAATCTACAAATGAAGACAATAATTAGATCATACTTCCCTCTAATATGATACAACTGTCTTCAGTACAACTGAGAAAGCACTAACCCCTTTTCCAGAAAAGGAGGTAACGTCCTTGAGTGATGTTCAGTCTTCTTGATATCTCATAACTTAAATACTATAATGTGAAATTGGCAATACTTAAATAATATGATGTGAAGTCAATGCATCTTATGTTACATTATAAGAGAATAAGAGAAGAAAGAAAATATTTGTTCAATATATGTGTATATATACACCAAAACATCACACAAAATAAGGTGGAAATAATCATGACAATTACAGACAGTCCTTATTTCTGTAACTGGTAAGAGAGTTGTAGTTGGTAATTACAACTACCTTTTCCTTTTACTACCTCTTCTGTATTTCCTTTGCCTTCAGCAAGCCCTAGCTAGTCAGAGCTCTTTAACTAGTGGGGTAAATCAAATCTTCATTCCTGAAAGGTCTTGGCCATTCACAGTCCTGCCTGGATTGGGTTGTAGTTTTCCACTGACCTTTAACACAGAGCATGACAGAACTGAGATACCCTAAGGAATCTTCTGTATTCCAGACATATTCTTTCTTTAGTGCATTGTGGAGTAGTAGTCCAATTTCCCTTTGCTAATCAGGATCAATCACTTCAGCCAGCACAATAACTCCCTTCTTTGCCAGCTGATTTAGAGGCATAAGACAGTCAAAGTGGCTGGGCAGGAGTCTTAACTTCCAGGTCAAAAAGTTATTGCTATATCTCTTGGTGGAGGCATACTCCTTTTGGAATTAAGACCTCCATGTTATCAGAGCAAGGCTATAGAAACTGGAAGCAGATATTTTGTCCTTGAGTTACTAGGGGTAATGGTGAGTGATGCTACTTCCATTTCCAGTTCTTGATTCCTGGACCCATGAATCCTGGCAATGGGAGAAACAGCATCATATATTGGAAGCTGATTCAAAGCATATACAGCCTTCTGGAAAACCTTTCCCTAGTCCTGAAAGGTACTGCCACTTAGTTGGTGTTGTAATTGAGTCCTTAAAAGACTAGTCTACCAGTCTATCAAACCAACTACTTCAAGATGGTTGTTGAACACAGTCAAAACAGTGAATTCCATGAGCACAGGCCCTTTGCAGCACTGCATTTGCTGTGAAGTAAGCTCCTTGGTCAGAAGAAATGCTGTGTGGAATACCATAATGGCAGATAAGATATTCTTTAAGTCCATGGATGTTAGTTTTGGCAGAAGCATTACACATACAGAAGGCAAACTGATGTCCAGAATAAGTGGCTATTCCAATATGAATATAATGGAGGTGGTCTAGTGTAATCAACCTGCTACCAGGGAATGGTGCCATAATGGGGACTCAACGTTGGTTTCTGCTGCCAGCAGACTGGGCACGCAGTAATGGCTACATCCAGGTCAGTCTTGGTGACTGCAGGCTACTGTTGCTGATCTCATGCATGAAACCTCAACCTAGAACTTTTAAGCTTATTCAGATCAAGTCAGAATTTAGTAGCACTCCTATCCAATGCCACAGGTCTGTGTAAGTCAGATTATTCTGATTGCTGCTTTAACTCTGCTTCCCATTACAGTAACTTATCCACCTTGTCTTTGGTGGCTGAGTGTCACAACTTGGCCCCTACCACCCTGGGATCCAATTATTCCTATTGCATTTGGGTTTTCCAATTAAGTGCCTGCAGTGAAGGCCTTACGGTGGGCTGTAAGGTCTGTCCTACATAGAAGAGTGATAACAGAGTTCTTCAAGGCTGCCAGGGCTCCTCTCACAAACTTATTTCTCATACTCATGGTAAAGGGTATGTCATCTGGACTCTCCCAGGATGGGTAAGTGATCTTAAATGACAAACCCACTCTAACATTCCAAACTCCCTAAGCTTTGAATCCCTTCCTCTACATTAATCCAAGGCAACCCATTCATGGTGGGCCACCTTTTGGTGTTTTTCAGCCAATCAATCAAACTGTTAGATCCCTTTCCAACTCTTTGAGTTGCAACATTAAATGCGTACCTGGCTTAGTAAGCCCATATCAATAACTTCTGCCTAATCCAACCCTTATCCCAGAGCCTTAGAATACATTCCCATGCATGTTTCCTGGATTTCTGTCTGTATAAAGTAGAAAATTCAAGTAGTTCTTTCAGAGTGTAATGTACTTCTATATAGTCACATTTTTACCTCACCTTTAGAGATCTAGTTATAGGTCTAGAAGCAAAGAAATGTGGTGGAAGTGGGTATTGAGGAGACTCAGCATTGCTTGGGATGCCATTACAGTTTCCTCAGGTAATGCTAGGTTAATCCCCTCAGATGGGGTGAAGTGGTTTCTTCTACTGGCAAAGATGATTCATCAGAATTTAGGGCCTAAATGTCCCCAGCTTCATCAGTGTCTCCCTACACATTCCTATTCCAACTGGTAGTCTCCCATTCCTTCCCAACTAATGCCCTCACTTTAACAGTAGATACCCTATAAAGTTGGGAATTCAACCTGTGTTGTAATTCTGGGACAGGATGAGATTCTGAGTTTGATTTTCAGCAATCTCAACCCGGTGACTATAGGAGATAAAAATTTCCTTCAGGGCACATTTAGGTGCTTTTAAGTCATTTATGCAGCAATGAGCTGGCAATTTGGTGCTTTTTTGTTATTTAAAATTTTTTAGTTAAAAAGATAAGTAACACACATGCTTCCAAGTTAACACATTAAATAATGCATTAAATAGCAGCAAGGCTAATTAAGTCCTGCTTTTGGAAGCAGTGAGGAGGTGATGCACATTTCCTGGTGTCTACAGCCACTGTCACAGAACTAGTTAGGGAAAGCACAGATACTGCTAACCCTGGTGTGCTTCCTTGCCTGCATTCACCTGGGAGAAAAGGCTCAATTTTGAGTAGAGGTTAGTGACCATAAAGAGGCTTTTTTTCCCATCTAAGTTGAGGCTCCTGAACTCAAGTTTTCAGATTCATGCAGCCCTGGGGATACATGGATCCCAAGTTAAGAAACCCTGCCCTTCTTACAGCCCCCCTGCTGTGATCTAGGGACACATATGATGCCTGGTTCTTCCAGGTAGTGACAGGCAGGCCCTCACCAGGTATGTGATGGGCGGTGCCTGGAAGTCCCTCAGGTGGGAGCCTGAGCTGGCAATTTGAATCCTTGAGTTCATCCTTTGCTTTCCCAATTTTGTCTAATGACACTAGGAGCAACCAGCCAATTTCATTATATTCATTAGTTTGCCAAAAATGTTTAGAAGTATCATATATACAATCACCTGGATCTCTGCTGCTTACAAGCAGTTGATTAAGAGTATATGATAGTGATATTTTACTTACCACTATTGTCAGATCATATCAGAACCAAGATTTGTATTAAGGTTCTCCAGAGAAAGAGAACCAATAGAGAGGGGGGCAGGGCAGGCGAGAGAGACAGAGAGAGAGAGAGAGAGAGAGAAACTGGCTCACGTGATTTATGAAGGCTAACAAGTACCAAGGTCTAAAATGGACTAGCTATATGTCCAGGAGAGCCAATGGTACAACTCCAGTCCAAAGCTGGCAGGTTCCAGACCCAGAAAAAGCCAATGTTTCAGTTTGAGTCTGAAGGTAGTAAAGAAGGCTGCCTTCCATATTGTAGGCAGCCAGGAAGGAGGAGTTTCCTCTTACTCTTTGGAAGGCTTTTTGTTCTATTCAGGCTTGCATTTATTGAGTGGAACCCACCCACATTAGGGAGGGCAATCTGCTTACTCAGTCTACCAATTCTAATCTCATCCAGAAACACCCTCACAGACTCAGCCAGAACAATGTTTGACCAAACGTCTGGGCACTCTGTGGCCCAGTCAAACTGACATGTAAAATTAACCATCAGAGGCACTAATTAGTTTTTAATCTTAAGTAAGACATGCACCATATTTATATGAGAAATTGTAACTGACACATTCAAAATTACAAAGACTAATGTTATTTATTAACATTACTTTTGATTTATCACATACCCTTAAGTATAAAATAGATTTTTCTCATTCTATATAATAAATCATTATGAGCCGGGCATGATGGCTCAGCCTGCAATCACAGCACTTTGAGAGGCTGAAGTGAGTGGATCACTTGAGTCCAGGAATTCAAGACCAGCCTGGGTAACATGGTGAAACCCCGTCACTGCTAAAATACAAAAATTAGCTAAGCTTGGTGGTGCATGGCTATAGTCCCAGCTACTCAGGAGGCTGAGGCAGGAGGATCACTTGAGCCTGAAAGGTGGAAGTTGCAGTGAGTCAAGATTGTGCCACTGCACTCCAGCATGGGCAACAAAGTGAGACCCTATCTCAAAAAATAAATAAATAAAATAAAAATAAATAAATCATCATGGACTTTCATTTAAGGTAAATAACTTCATCTTAGGGACATTTTAAGGTATCTTAAGTAAGAAAAAGTATTTTTAAGTTTTGTTCATATCTGTATATATTGTGAGCGATCATTTAAAAAGATATTTTGTAAATTAATTTAATAGAGTAAAAATCCATGTTTTACATAGTTGATATATGAAAAACTACTTTCTTTAAAGGAATAAAATTTTAGGTAGGTAAAATAGATTTTCTGTAAAGTTACCTGAGTTGCCTAGTGCTTTCCTTCCTGTTGTAACATCATAGTCAACATTATTGCACATGGAGACAATTACTGAAAGACCTTCATATTTTGCTACTTAACTTGATGAAATTCAAGCCAACTGACTAATTTCACATTATTTGAATTTCTCAATTTCATCTTTTCCTTATCTATATCATGGCTATCAAACTAATGATTTTCATTTTCATTGGAAATGAAGGAACAAAAATATAAATGCTATGATATGTGTTTACTATCTAAATTGTTTTAAAAGCTATTTGTGGGTGTCCATATAATAAAAGGATACATAAAAGAACTCAAAATTAATATACTTAAAATAAAAGAATACCTTTAAGCTCAGTAGATATTCACAAACAGCATAACAAATGCCAATACCTTCTTCTGTATTAGTACCTCTGCCAAGTTCATCAATTAATATGAGCGATTTGTCATTAGCATTATGTAGAATATATGCTATCTGAAATATATAATTTTAATATTTATTCATTGTAACCAAACAGCTGTCAATATTACAGGAAAAAATGAGGAGAAACGCAGTCTCTTTATAAGTTCATCTGAAATGTATCTTTATAGAGACGTCCTGCTGAGCAGAAAATAATACATTGTTTTCCTTTCTAAAAATCTCATGACTAATAATTCCAGAATAGCTGATGTATACATACACATATGCATATGTATATGAGACAACATAGAGTAAATAATGATTATCTAAAATACTGATGCTTTAGATACAGTGAAAAAAACCAATAAATTAAATGTTCAAGCACAAAGAAGGTCATTTTCTTCTCCACAAATGACTAATCAATTACTGCTATAAAATATCCAAAACCATCTCTCAAATTTATTTAAGTATTACTCTATATCCTGTAAAGATAAAGTAAAGAAAAATTTAAGAAAAAACACCTAAGTCTTGATTCTTGATTTAACAAATCAGTTTAAATCCATGACCAATGGAGACCAAGACTTAAATTGACAGAAGTGCGCTTTTCCACTGAAGATTATTAACCTCTTTCTCAAAAATAGAATTTTACCTTTATTATATTATGACACAATAGTAACTTTGATGGACATTTTACCTTTCTATGACACTAAGCTTTTTGAGGGCTAGGACGATTTAAAAATATACCTTAAGTGCCTGATATATTGCTACAATCTGTCATAGATATTCAATACACAATAAATAATTCCATAAATTGTGGGACAAATGATAACTTTAGTCACCACCTATCTACTTGAAGAAAATTATCCAACTAAACAGTGATCCTAAATTCTTAATACAGATATCCCAAGAGTTACACTTAATTCCTTTAGTTCTAAAGGCTACTTGATGTTTGCTCAATCAGAAATAGGTGATACTTTGGTACAGGAAGTGAAATTTCTATAAGGACAAAAAAGAAGACGATTTTTGGAAGCCTTCTAACACAGTAATCTTTTGTTTTAAAATCGAGCCTATGAAGAACAATAAATACTATGCAAAATGGTACTGAACCAGTTATCATTTCCTGAAGCTTTTTACTTATTCCGTATAAAAACATTTAGGCACGCTTTTATTACTTAATAACACTAGCTCTTTCTTTTAAAATTGTATTTTCAATAAAACATTGTCTTCCATTTCCACTTAAATTGGAAATTAGGAGGCTGTCTCTGACTGCCCTCTGGCTCTTAGAAAAGGGTATAGGCACATTTGCATATTTTAGTATAAAAATATTTTATGTAATAACTGACCATTAGTGAGATAATTTAATGTTTTTAACATAAGAAAAGTTTTGTTTGGGTACCTCTTTCATTTCTTTCATAAATGTTGATGAATTTGTTTCGATATCATCATCAGTACTGAGTCTTGTAAAAATTTGTTTAGCAATTCTAAAGGAAGAATATTCTGCTGGAACATATGATCCTGTAAAATATAAGGTCAAGATAAATTGAAATGTGTTTATAAAATATAAGTACTAATTACATTTTGCACTTCTCAGATTATTTACAAGGATTATATGGTAGAAAGAACACTAGATATGGCCTTAGAAGACATGACCCCAGCCCTATCCCTTATTCTACAAGCTTAAACAGCACTTAAACTTTCCCAGTTCTAGCCGGGAGTGGTGGCGGGAAACTGTGGTCCCAGCTACTCTGGAGGCTGAGGCAGAAGAATGGCGTGAACCGGGAGGCAGAGCTTGCAGTGAGCCGAGATCGTACCACTGCACTCCAGCCTAAGCGACAGAGCGAGACTATGTCTCAAAAAACAAAACAAAACAAAACAAAAAACAGTTGCCCTACCTACTGTACAAAGTTATCTGGAAGTCCAAATAAGACAGTAAATATTCAAGTACATAACAAAGAGACTGTTATAAAGTCAATAAAATTTTTAAATAACTTACTTGAATGATAAAGAACACTTAAAATATTAAAATGTGAAGGGAATGCTTATAAAGCTTATGAATATGCCAGTTATACTGATCTATTCATTATACATGGTATGCATTGAAACATCACTATGTATCTCTTAAATGTGTGCAATTATTATGTCAAAAATAAAATAAATTTAAAAAAGAAATATGAAAATCTGAAGCAAATGCCTATAAAGCTGAAGTTAATAAAATCATTATAAAAAGATATAAAGAAATATCTGTGATTACAAACATGCAGAAACATTCAGAAGCAAAATAAAAGCAAAACATTTAATAAAAAGAAAAAGAAAGTGAATTTTCACCCACAAGACTGTTTCTGCCCAAGAAGTTATTGAGCTAACTCATCTAAAATATTCGTTTCTTAAAAACAAATAATCTGATTAATGCACCCGTCTCAATATAGAATAAAATCTAAAAGGCATTCTAACATTATAAGAAGATAAAATATACAAGTAGTTGAATGGGAAACGTACCACATATACAGAATTCTGTATAGATAAAATTGTGAAATAGTAGGCGCAAAAAAAAAACAAAGCCAGATTACTCCAAGATTGAAAACAAAAATAAGGATAAAGAATAGGGCTTAACTCTGAGGAATAAGGAGTAGCAAGAAAAGAGACCAAAAGTCAGGCTAACACTAATGAAAATAAAAGTAATAATCATAACAGTAGTAATTATAATAACTGCACCTGTACCATTCGACATACTAGGTCTTTTATATCCACTCTTCCTAATTTTCAAAATAACCCAATAAATTGCGTATTATTTTTCTCATTTTACAAATGAAAAGTGGAGGCTCAGGACCCAGTGTGAGTGTATATATATACTGGGTAGTATATATAAGGTATTTTTTATATATATAATACATAATGTATATTATATATATTTATATTACATATGGAAGGCATTTTATATATATACCTTATATATATACAGACATAGCATATATTATTAAGAGGTATGTTTGTATTTTCTCTGCTCTCTTAACCTCCATCAAAAAGTTTCTCAACCTTTCTTATCTAGATTATTACAGAAGCCTCCTGGCTGGTATTTTTGCTTCTAGTCTAGCTCTCATCTATGCACCAGCTAGAATGATCTATCTAAAAATTAAATCTGATCATACTATTCTCTTGCTAAATGTCTTCAATAGCTCCCTACAGATTACTGGATAAAGCTCAATCTTTTCAGGTAAATACCTAAAACCCTCCATGACCTAATTACTGCCCATCTCTCCAACTTTATACCTTGCTACTCCTTACAGTTACTCTTTGCTCTATGAAGCAAAGGAAGTACAAAGCCTCTGGACTACTTTTTTGTAGTTCCTTGGGCACATCATAGTATTTTTTTTTTTCTTCTGAGTTTTAGAACATGCTCTTACCTCTGCCTGGGAAGTCTCCTTCTTTTTCATACTTTCCCCTCAAATCCATAGCATTTTATTTTTATTACCTCAGTCCTTATAAAAATTATTAGAAGTAGGTTTTACCATAGTTTTTATTTGCAGATAGGAAAACCAAGGCTTAATGAGGTTAAGCAATTTGCCTAAGGTTACACAGCTAGTAACTTGACAAGCTAGATCTACCTTCCCAGTCTATGGTCCTAACTTCCATGCCTTTCAAGTCCCACTCGTGTCTTACGGTCAGACTATATGAGATATTATGTATGTTTCAGGTGTTTCAGAGGTTTAAGATGGTCAGTGACAAGAGAAGTATCATTATCTTTAAGTATTTGAAGAGCTAATATTGGGAATAAATACTAGATTATTCTGTAGTATATAGAAGAATAAGGATAAATGAGTTGAAATTATAGAAATTGGGTTTCAGTTAAGTGTAATGAATACTTTAATTAAATTAGGGCTGTCAGCAATTGGACAGCCTGCTTTTTTATAGAACAGAGTTCCTCATAGCTATTCAAATAGAAGTATTATGTCTTACATGAAGCAGTCAGTATTCTTATAAGGGGAGGGAAATTAGCTAAAATGTCCTTTTATTTCCAATAAACCTACAAAATCAATAAAATATCTACTTATGCATCTCTGATTGTCCCAGTACTAAGGGTGAATTTATACTGTATCACCAATATTATTATTGCTTTGTTCTCCTTACAAATCATTACATTAGACCAAAGTTTCTCACCCATGACACTACTAGTAACTTGGGCTCCATAAATCTTTCGTGTGTGTGTGTGTATGGTGGGGTGAGGAAGGCTGGGGAGTGTGGAGAGGGAGAGCTGTTCTGTGCATTGTAGGATGTTTAACAGCATTCCTGGACTCTACACTCCCTTCAGTTGTGACAACCAAAAATGTTTCCAGATATTGCCAAATGCTGGGAGTTGGGAGGTAAGGGATCAAAACCACCCCTGCTTGAGAACCAGTTCATTTTGGCCAAGTATCTCATCTCTGATTCATACAGTTCTCAAGGAAATCCAGTTTTCAGAGATAGGAGTTAAGCTGCGCATCCATATTAAGAAATAGGTGACAATATTGGCTCAGTGACAGCCATTTAGATAAATATATGCACATGTGTATGTATAATATATCAACTGCTATAGCCAAGTTATTGGTACCCCTCAAGTTAAGGGAAATGTTTCTCTGCTCAATATTATATTTAATAATTTTGGAAAAAACTCACATGGGTTATTAAAGGCAACAGCTTAACCTACTCATTTCACTTTTTCTCACAAGGTTTGTTTTTGAACCAGAAATAATTGCATGATTGAGTTTAGTAATAATTGATGAAACTTTAATAGTTATAGTAAGAATGGTCCCACTTTTGTAGTATCCCAAAAACATTTTAGTGCAATGCAATTGAAATTGGATGAAGTTTAAAGAATATTGAATAGTAAAGTTATAGTCTACACAATAGACACACTGTAATATTTTTAGGTAACAGAATCTGCTCCAAACTGTTCTCGGGTTAATTAGGCACATGGACCCAAAAAAATTAGGCACAAAGCATTCTGAAAAGAGTGTCAAACTGGTCATTATAAATAAAGCTATAACTTACCAATCTGGGCCATAATCTGACAAAGAGCAATCTGTTTTAAATATGTGGATTTTCCACTCATGTTTGGTCCAGTTATGATCAAAAAATTACTCCCTTCTGTAATATAGGTATTGTTGGCAATAGGTTTTTCCGCAGATATTTTTTCAAGAATAGGATGCCATCCCTGTTTGATTGCTAAAGTATCAGTAAATTCAGGTCGAACTTAAGAAAAAAAAAATAGAATGGTTTTTAAAGATTAATATATTTGCGTCCAAAGATTTTGTAGTGTGTATGTACTCTCTATATCTTAGTGATTTTCACACTGGTCAATTTGGAATAACAACATTAAGGTATTATATTATCCCAAATCCCCACCCAAATTCTTCTAAATTATAATAGACACACTCTAATCACTATCACAACTTTTATTCACTTTCTAGAGAACTCTAGAATTTAGTTCTTTACCATTGTTGAGCTCCAAAATAGTTTATAAAATTTTCAGCTTTGTGTAAATTAAAAAGAACCAAGTAGACCAGGCATGGTGGCTCATGCTGGTAATCCCAGCACTTTGGGAGGTCGAGGAGGGCAGACTGCTTGATTGCTTGAGCTCAGGAGTTCAAGACCAGCCTAGGCAACATGGTCAAACCCTATCTCTACAAAATATATATATTAGCCAGGCGTGATGGCTCATGCCTGTAGTCCCAGCTACTTGTGGGGCTGAGATAGGAGGATCTCTTGAGCCTGGGAGGTGAAGCCTGCAGTGAGCTGAGACTGTGTCACTGCACTCCAGCCTGGGTGACAAAGTGAGTCCCTGTCTCAAAAATATAAAAATAAAAATAAACAAGAACCAAGTACTCATTGATTGTACTTTAAAAATCATAATTTGTGGCCGGGCGCGGTGGCTCAAGCCTGTAATCCCAGCACTTTGGGA